ATTAACCACTTTTTTGTTATCAGCAATTTGCGTAGAAAGCTGATTTCTGCAGTGTTTTGTTGATTCACACCATTTATCCCAAAATAGGAAAAAAACTTAGTTAGTAATTATATTGTTTGGAACTGTTTTAAGAGTAAATTCCATGGTTACTGACTCTTCCAGGCTTGAAGGAAATTAAGAAAAAAAAAAAGATAATAAAAAGTAAATGGACCTTTATGTTCCAAGTCTTTAAACTGCAAGAATGGTAATACACAGCATTTGGTACCTAACTTCATACCACACTTTTAGCATAATTTATGCATGAATACTTGTGTTTATTATAGAGAAATTCTGAAATAAATTGAAAAGTCTGACTTTCAAAATAGTCCATGAATTTTCATGTTGTCTGATCATCTCCTCCAAGGATCATTTTCTCAGATCATTCTCCAGCCTTCACTCTACCCCACAATTAGGCTGAAAATCTGATCCCCTCCAGCTTCTGCATCTAAGGCAGCATTCTATATTTTTCTGCATCTAACATTATTTTCAAATTTATTTTCTGCTTCTCATGCAATTTTTAAATTCATTTATTTCCTGTTTTGCTGGGAACTCTTCAAAGGCAGCAATTTTGTAACATTTTGTGATGCTGAGTATGAATACAGTGTGTTTCCAAATCTTTTGTTGATGTCATTACATGTATTATAAACAAAATCTGTTCCAGGTGTTTGGCCTGCTGCACTTCTTGTGAAAGAAAATGCATGAACAGATTACAGTGATAAGACATTTCTCATCAAGATTTGGGAGTTACTACATAAACTTTTCCTTGGTAACACAGTTTTGTCTTTCACTTCCTTTAAGGCTTCTGTTATCCAACTGATTATCTCTAGAGTGATGTGTGCTTCCCACTAAGAGTTTGCTGTTCAAAATTCACTCTTTGGGGGAATATTTTGACATTATCAATAGTTCCTTAAATAGCAAAAATTCACATTCCTCAAAGATGGTGGCTTTCTATATTATTTCCCACAGGCTCTTCATAGGATAACTCCCTTGTTTGCATCCCTGCTGAGTTCTGGTTGTTCTCAGCGTAGTACAAACCAAGCAGTGCCAGCTCTCAGTGCCCGGCCCAGAGGACAAAGCCAAGACTGCAATGCTCAGTCCTGTTAAACTTGCTGAAAGTGCTAAATGAGAGCTCTGCCCCAGAGAGGTCTGGCCAATGGTGCTCCCCCAGGGCCAAAAGCTGTGACAGACCATCCACCACTTTTACAGGCAGATATGGTTCCCAGCTCCATACCTTTTTCAATTCACTAGCAATATCCCATATTGCCAGTAGATCAGAGGAATTCTAGTGTGGCTAAACAGAGATTTGCCATTCATGTCTCAGCCAACAGGAAATTAACTCGTTTTGAAGATTCTCAAACCATTGTGGAACCAAAAAAGGAGGCTGAAACAAATAAACAGGAGTTTTCAACAAGTTAAAAAAATTGTATAGAATGAATTTTCACAAAAGAGGGGGAGAGCACATGAGCTAGGGATGAAGTTCCTCAAATGCTGTTTCTTTCTGTGGGGATGTCTACTTATTTTGCTTTCATTAATTATTTCCCCTGTGTTTTTTTTAATCTTTCCTCCTGAAATATTTCAATAAAAGTGAGATTAAAATAGGATTTCAAGGAGTGCTATTAAGAATTGGAATTTTCATTGTCTCCGTGTAAGGATTAATTTGCTGTCTTGGCTCTCTTCTAACTTTTGTTGGTTACAGAAACTTTAAACACACACCCAGTAAGGCATGTTACATTATTAACTCCTGAGTGTGAAAAATGCAGTTTCACTCAAATAGTACATGCCATCCAGCTGATCCAAACCAGCAAAACAGCAACCTCATCAGTCACTTACAAAGGGATTAGGAATTTAAGAGCAAGACTATGATCCAGTGAATAAAGAGATAAACAACAAATAATCAAACCTAGACTCCCTCTCAGTCTCTGCTTCTGATTCTGATTCACTTTGAGATTTCAGGTATCTCAACCTCTGTATCCCAGACTTCCTCCATCTGTAAGGGAAAAACACAGTCTTTGTAAAGTATGTGGAAACATGAGTAAAAAGCTCAATGGCAAAGTTGCCATAGCAGTTACTGATTGAATATAATGCAAATAGAGTCTTGCTGTACTTTAACATTTGTAACATTTAGATATTTTCATGAATGCTACCGAGAAAATCAAAGTTCTCAAGCTATTTTGAATAAGAAAATGAAAATAATGAAGGAATTGGCATACTGCTGTACTTCCAAAACATACAGATATAAGATGATAAATTATCAGATGCAGTAATTAGTTGCATTTCCAACTCCAACAATATTTATTGTATGCCTCCTTTCAGCATCCTTCTCACCACATGTTCTTTACAGTGGAATTGTAAAGCAGATAATATTTAGTGCATAGAACCATGCAAATGAAACATCCTAGCCTATTAATACCCTATTAATACCTAGGGTACTTAGCTCACATTGCTCTGCAGCTTGCAGGCTTAACCCTACACATCACTCTGGACAGAAACAGCTTTTAAATTAAAATAGAATAAAATAAGCAGCCATAGAGATATTTTTTAAATAGAAATTAGACATTAGCACCTGAAAATAATACAGAGAGATCAACAATGAAGACATGCCCTTTACAGAATGGGGATTCAACCCACCACTACATCTCCTGACTTTTTTTTGAGAAGGAATTGGAGGTTGGGCCTCACACACTCCAGATCAGTGCTTGGGCCATGAGGCAGGTCATGGTTTGGAATCTGGTTAGTCACTGGTTTAAGGATAAATTCCAACCAGAATATAAGGGTAGACACTTGCAAATAAAAAACATTCTTAAATAATCACTCCTTTCTGTCTCTGTCCATAAGAATTAAAAACCCTTGCTTAACTTGAACTATTCAATGTGGTTAATCTTCACAGAACCAAAGGAGCAATGTATACATTGACACCCAATACTTGTGTGAGTCTTTTCATACATGCACCTACTTGTGAAAACAAACTATTCAGCTTGTAGTACCAGTTCTAAGTTCCTGATGCCACAGCCTCAGTGTATGGTCTCCTGATATGACCCTGTTTTCCTTGATTTTCCCTCAATTAGAGCAAGGAAAAATATTTATAATTTTGCACCAGGTTTTTTGGTATTATGTGGAAATTCAACATTATTTACTAAAATAATTTCACTATGAAACAGTTCGTTTTCACATTGGACTGCTTTCACTTGTAACTATTGCATTTTTGAGCGGTCAAAATTTAGCCAAAGAAAATGTTATTTTGGATTACACAGAATAAAAACAAAATAAATTGCAGCAAAACTAAAAACTTTTATTTTTGAACTCATGAGAAGTCATATTCCTCTACAATTCTTTCAGAGACCCCCCAGGTCATCTATTGATACAGTTTTGTCTCAGGAATTCATTATTCCCATTAGAAGATTTCATCTCTGTCTTTTCCAGATTCTGAGGGTTGTCACCCATATCCTCTTTTACCTTAGAATTTACTTATTTAATCTAAATCAGAAATGTAAATACCATCTTCCTGCACACTGTTCAAAGATCTAGCTTAATTCTGCAGACCTATCTTACGCAACTCTAATTATAATCTTTCTTATCTGATTGTTGACTCCCAAAAAGAGGAGGTTTTGGGGTGATTGAATTGTGGTCACCAGAAGGGACCCCACCAGAAAGGTGAAGTGAGGCTATTTACAAGAGAGTGGAGTGACAGAACGAAGGGTAATAGCTTTAAATCGACAGAGAGTAGGTTTAGATTACATATTAGGAGGAAATTCTTTAGTGTGAAGGTGGTGAAGCACTAGAACAGAAGATGTGGGTGCCCCATCCTTGGAAGTATTGGAGGCCAGGCTGGATGGGGGTCTGAGCCACCTGGTCTAGTGCAAGGTTTTCCTGCCCACACCAGGAGAATTGGAGCTAGATGATATCTCAGGTTCCTTCCAACCCAAACCATTCTATGATTCTATGGTCTAATAATTTATTCCATACCAAGCTTAACACAGCCATAAAGAATCCATAATTTTTTTTTCTGCAAAGCTTCATCACTGCATCATATCTCAACAGTCATGAGTGCTGCCAGCCTGCTCTGCCTGCTGGGTATAAACAGAGCATCATCTTCGTCTATAGTACCGATACCACCATCATTATTACATGTTGCAGCCACTCTCTCCACAACTTTTCTATGAAGAAACAACTCTTCCATCTACCAGCTCCCAAAAAAAGGAAAAAAATACAGCAGGCTTTTCCTGTGGCCTTTTTTCTGCACTTGGATAGTAATCACGCTTGATGATCGTTTCTCCCGATTGTCACATTTCTGAATCACTCTCAGAGCTCTGCCATCTACTGCATTGTTCGTCAGGTATTTACTCCCTATCTATGGGCTCTCCTCAACTTTTTTCCATGCTCACAATTATCTCATATTCAGTTACAAGAAGTTACCTCCAATCAGCCTACTTGATAGCTTTCATTTTCAAACATACTTTGTTTTTTTTTCATTATGCTTTCCCCTCTTAGGAAGAATTTAGCAAATCATCCAAGAAAATCCTTCATTATTCTCCTCTAGATTGCTCCTAAAGTCTTTTTTTGATGTGTCACTAGGCTGCTGATGCATTAAAACCACAATCTATCATTCTGAATAACACTCATATGCGGTGATTAATTTTAGCCTTATTTGACATCCCCAGTCTTCTGCAAAGATGATAGAGAGACAAAGATAAGCTAGGTTTATATTCACAATAAGTAGGTCAACAAATCCACACCCATCTTTCTTTAGTGCTGTATAATCAGTGGCAGAACATACAGGATGCAGAAATAATAGTCTTCTATTTCCAGTTGCAAAATTGCACACCGAATTTGTGAGAGGATTAATTATAGCTGTACAGGCACATTTGGTTGACTTCTTTTTCCAACCTTGTAAAGCAACACCAGGCTAAGTTTCAATTATTGCATTCTCTGAGAGACTCCCAGGATGAAAGTGGTGTCACAATTGGTTTACCTCACGTTAACACTGTGCATATTCATTCTGTTAGAGAGATGTCTTTAAGAAAATATTACAGCATACAGAAAATTTTAAATCAGTTCAGTAAAAGTGGGTTTGTTTGCTATGTGCTTCTTCTACTTCAGAGACCCATAACAGACCCAAAAGAGGCAGCAAGATTCAGTTCCAGCACATGGAAGTGAATAAGGTGAGATGTCAATCTTGTAGTGCCTTCCCATTCCTGTGGGCATTTTATATTCCTTTTGAGTCTATATCAGAGCTAGCCTTCAGCAACAGAGCAATGGGGACAACTGTAATGTAAACTAAATATAAAACAACTGCAAAAACTCTTTCCTATTTACCTGAAAACCCGATGGCAGAAAAGTGGCGTTGCTTCAGCAGACAGGGCCTCCCAGAGGGTTACAGATAGCTGGAAAAAGCTGTGGATAAGGGGGCTGCCAAAAGAATAAGAATAGCAGACAATAAATTTCAAAGTATCAACCCGATCATAGAGGAATCAACAGAAATCGGAGAATGCATTAAAATAAATCAATCTGACTGAGAGCTGAGTGGATGACACTGCTTCCCTTCCCTTTGAGGATAAAACTGAGAAACTGCTTTGCCAGCTGTGTGGTAATGTTGCAATGGGAACTTAAAGCAATAAAAGATCAAAATAATTTGGATTTGGTTGATGCAACAAGTTACTTAAAAGGATTATTATAGCGCTATTTGACAAAGCTTACAGTACCAGCAGCAAGGTTTTATACACGTGTAAATTAGATCCATCAACATAATCTCTTTTCCATAATCATTTTCCATCAGCATTTTTCAGAAATATTGCAAATTATTTCCATAGTTATTCATTCAAAGAAAAAAATCTATGACAAAACAGGGGGAAAATGGTATTTTTCCAAGCATCTAGTAAGTCAACAGATGGCAACAATACAATAAATTTTTTTTAATGTATTTTTTAAAAAGAACAACCAAGCACACATGCACACAAAAAAATGTCTACACTGTACACAAAAGTTAAACCCTCTGGCAGAAATTTACTTTGGTAAAATACCACTGCAAAACATAAAGGCAACAAACTTTTGTAGTAGGAAATGCAAAGAAATATTCCTTCCAAATAATATTAATCCAGAAACCTGCCCTAAAATACTTCATTATTTTGTCTAGGTAAGTCAGTATATTTTAGCTTTCTCATATATACATAATCTTTTTATACCTAAATTCACAGCAGTCATTTGCCAGCCCAACCTTGCCCCAGTTAGAACCAATGCAAATATTTACCTGACATCAAAACAGTAATCATCTTGAATTTGGGAAGTCAAGAGATGGTACTGTGAGAGATCCACAATTAATACCTCAAAGGAAGAGTAAAGCAAGGCAGTTTGAATAAATTAGAAGCCAAGGAGAAATGGAATGCTGCTGCAGTAGCAGACATTTCTACTCCATCTCCTGAGGGTTCCTGCCACAGCTCTTACTTGTGCAAACCACAACATGCATCTGCACAAACATCATCACCTCACATTAAGTCCACAACTCCATGACAATAGGTACGTGTGCCCATTTACAGCTGGAGGATAAAAATCCCATTAGTCACTCCCAGGCAGCAAGAAAATTACTACCCTGTGTAATTCTCAAGTAAAATAAGTCTCATAGCCAGAATAATTTCTTGGTTTCATACTCTACAGGTAGAGTTAAAATATTCCACAAGGAAAGGAAAAAAAAAGGATGATTTCTCCCACAAAAAAGAAAGGTTCTCCCACATCAATGAAAAATATTTAATTATCTTCTCCAAGTTTTTTTTTATGAGAACTGGAGTACATTTACAAGATTTTCACAACAAAAATTTAGCTCAGCTACCTGAAACCAGTATTGTTATTGACATTGCGTGGTATGAAAAAAGATATTAAACAATGCAATTTCCAACTGGCACTGGCCACTTCTGTTAGTGTTATTCGTGAGAGCAGGAAGAAAGACAGTATCTAAGGAACTGAAAGGTTTTTGTGGTTGTATGGGAAAAATATATGCTTGTTTTGACTTGTCTAAAGGTACCTGTGTGTTTTGATGACCGAAGATTTAACTGCCTATGTTCAAGTGCCACTGAAGGGTCTGTTCACTTCCTTCTTACATTTTGTCCTCCTAGAAAGCAGTCACTAAAGACAGCATCATTTATCTTCCACAGAGTCATCCACTCTGTGGAGCTCAGTTTATAGCTCTGAGGTGGAGGTGAGAGTTCCTCCCAAGACAGCTGTTCTGGAAAGAAACCTGAAAATGGTGAGGTGAAAAAACCTGTAGAGGACACTGTGAAAAGCATTCAAGAAAATACCATTTCAGTAAGATGTGGCACAGTTAACAGAAGTGATAGAGAAGAAATGTATTTTTAATTTTCTAAAAACATAGTGTAGAGTCTGTCCATCTTCAGGAAGCATAAAGAGAGATAAACAACTACAGCTCATTTGAGGAAAGAGAGAACCCAAATATATTTGTACAGGAGTTTCTGCACTTTAAATAATATATCCGGTAAATTTTTAGCATGTTTATATAGGAATATATTTGAATTTCTAACTCTTACATTTGACTGGTGATTTTTCTAAATACTAAGAAGTTTGTTGGTCATCAGTGGGTGAGCATGTTTGTCACTGTGCCTGGATGACTCATCACATACCTGTGGCTTGGCCTCTTTTAGCTGATTCCCCATGCTCTTTAGTGGAAAAAAATGCTAGCATGCATGGAAAAAAAATATCCAGCATGCTGCACTCCATGCATGTGAACAAAAGACTTTTATTTAGTCATTTATTCATTTAAAAGAACAAATTATGCTAGGCTCTGCAATACAATTACCTTTATACTATAACAGTGTTTTTGTCCCAAAGCTAAGATCTCTTACATAGAAGGTCATTTTCACAGTCTTTAGGTGGGGAAAAAACCCCCTCCTCCTCCACTCTCTTTATTGAAAAATTTCCAAATGACCCAAGATCTATATGATGACTCAGGGAGCTCCAAGTTATAGCTCTGCCTTGAGATTCCTTCCCTCTGCAAGAAAAGACTTGAGACAATCAAGGAGCTGGCCACAATATCTCTATAAAGCCTCTCCAATGCAGGTTTTAAAGTCTCTCAGTGTATCCCAGGAATTGATTAAACTTGTTTGGCTGTGGCCCTCTCCATTCACCAGTTAGATTTGTTAGATTAGAAGAAATTTTTGCAAAGAATTGGTCAGCTTCATTTGGACTTGACTGTTAAGACAAAGGTGCTTGAGAGGGAAAAATACTGCAAATATATTCCGTCAAAGCAAAATATCAAGATATGGTTGAAAAGTTGGAAAGAGAATGGCAAAAAGTAAAATTCAATACAATTCTTGGGTTATACTTGACCATAGCAAATCCTCCTTAGTTAGACTGGTAGCCTCTTCATCCTAAAGTTATACCTAGGAACTCATTCCTGTCTACAACTTCCTCATAAGGGGAAGCAAAGGGCGGGGATTTTTTCTTTTCTTATCTCTGGCTAGCAAGTGAGCAGAACCCAATAACCAAAGTGAGCAGAACAAAGGATTTGTTCTGGGGAGGATGAAACAATGGATCTTTCAGGGGAGACTTAGGCTGGATATTAGGAAAAGGTTCTTTACCCAGAGCATGGCTGGGCACTGGAACAGGCTCTGCAGGGAGGTGATCAGAGCACTAAGCCAGGCAGAGTCCAAGAAGCATTTGGGCATCAGGCACATCGTGTGACTCTTGGGAACAGCGCTGTACAGGACCAGGAGCTGCATTCAGTAATCCTCATGGGTCCCTGCCAACTCCAGATGTTCTGTGAATCTGTGATTCCCCATGAAGCAATCTGAGATGTCTTTCCATCACTTACTGACATTCTGTCTTTCAAGTGCTACTACACATAGCAGAACCTCATTCATACCCAAAAGAAAGGCATATTCAATATTTACTCCTTAAAGTTCTGAAGCTGTTCTTGGAAGACTGGATGCTTTCCCCATCTACCCTTCTATAGGACAAAAGCTTGAACCTATGGACACCAAAACAACTTGCAGTCTAGGCCTAGCCCAGGAAATTATCATCTTTAGCATGATCTTCGTTCATTGGGCTGCCAATTTCCCATTTTTTCACCATGTTCTGACTAGAAAGTGGATTAAATAGCTGGCTAGTCAAAGCAGTTCCTTAAAATAAAACTCACGCTTTGCAACAGGAAAAAATTACATAAAAGGCATAAACTGCCAGCTGTTACACCCCATTGGGTCCTTGCAAAAACCAAGTGCAATACACTATGATACAGAGTCTACTATGTATTGGCAAGGATGTGTAAGGCAGCAGCGTGTACTTCACCTTCAGACGTGTTGTCAGCCTTGTCAGAATTCATCAGCTCAGCTTATGTGGAGACTGGGGGACCTTTGAGGTCTCCAGAACTCTCCGTTCCCACCAGCTACAGGGGTAAAAGGTCAGGAGTCAGTCTATCCCTGCAGAAAAGATGAAGGTTGTTGGTTCCAGATGGAGGCACTTAGGCACATGCGCCAGACCTAACATTCTTGCACCTGCAGCTACTTTGCTGGTAAAGAAAAGAGCCTGCTGCCTGTTCAGCTCTGCCTGCTTCCTTGTCTGCCTAAGGCTGGGGAGGCAATGAAGCAGCTATCCAAAAGCAGACCAGTAGGGACCATGGCACTTTCCCATTCAGAAGTGCACACTTTCCCAAAATTCCCACTCAGAACTGCACACTTTCCTGGCCTATCTTCTAGCAGAGGGCAAGGAGAAAAAATCTCAATGCTGTGCCAGGCTCTTACATCAAAATTGTATTTGAATATTTCAAAATACAGGCTCCTACTGTTTTCTTTTGACTGTGACTCTTTCTAGTTGAAGCTCATCTATCAGGCTGTAAAGTCCATATCCTGTAAGATTTGGAGGAGTCAGGCTGCTGATTCTGCTGACCCTGGCAAAAGTTCACCTAGGTTCATGAGTCCTTCCTGGAAGCTGCTGACAATCAGTAAATAAGGTTTATGGTCACTCATTGCTCCATAACAGAACAGATAATTTAAAGGAGTACATTTTGTCACTGCATGGAAAATACAGTGTCCAAGGTGTGGAGGAGAAAAAAAATCACCTAAATAAAGGCTTGTGCACAGCATGAACACTCAAATGGTTTGACCTAGACTTGTAATTTTCCTTCTGGCACTCATGGATTTTTCAGTGGTTGGCCTTTCAACCCTAAATCTTTCTTTTATATTGCCATTTTCTATGGGGAAAATTGTAGTAGAAAAGAACTCCTAGAAAATATCAAAATTCAGAGAGATTGCAATTACAGTCTGCACACACTGATGCAGGATTGCAGATGCCAAAAGGATATGCCTTGAGAAGTAATTTCACAAAATATGTACATTCCCACAATGTGTTTCTGTGCCATTTTCCCTGTTGGAGATGGTATCAATCTTGCAGATTAACTGCTACTCATTCAGCTACATCCTCCAAGGGACTGTGGTTCACTTCATAAATGATTCAGGCAGCAACAGTATGCAAACTTAACTCCTTGATGAGGAAGGAGCAGCTCCTTGATCTTTTACTTTAGATTAATGCATTTTATTCCCTGTTACTCTCTAGGGCTGGCAGCTAGGAGATGGGCCTCCCAGGTGAGTGCTGCAGCTTATCTCATTGTTTTGATCACTTTCACAGGCTGAGAATCAAGACTCAACATGGACAAAAGACTGACCTTATTAAAAAAACCCACCGTCAGTCAGTGATAAAACAAAAATAAAGTATTTTTGGACAGTTTTTTCTCATCTACCTTTAAATTTTGAGACTACGGAGAAAGCTGGACTGTTTTTATCTCCTTAGGTGTCAAATTCACATTGACACACCTGAGAAAGAGAAACTGAGACATGATGCGTAGGACAGCAGTATGGAAAAACTGAAGTGACAAGGAAAAGAGCAGCAGGAAGCCTAAGACAGTAAAGGACCATAACCAAATAGTGATAAGGATGACTTGTTGCTAGGCTCTGAAGGAGAACAGAATGATCTGCTGACAGCAGAATGAATGCCTAAGACTTAGACCAAAACTAGGAAAAGGTACTGACTCTTGGACTTCCTTGTAAGAATTGACAAGTCTGTCACTCAGACTGTCGCAGGCAAGGAAGATGTACAATATCTGCTCTAAGCAAAAGACATGAGATATGTGTCTGTGGCAAGAGCAAACGCTGATAGGAAATGGGGGCAAGGAAAGCATAGAAAAAAACTCCCCTAGCTGCCCTTCACATTGGAACAAATGGTGCTGCCACAACAGCTCTGCCCGCCAGGCTCAAAACAAGATGATCCGTGTGATATCTCTGCCCCTAATGCAGAGAATGCATGGGATCAACAAGAAAGTGAGGATTAGCAGATGAATTCATGAAATAGGTTATTTGCATCTGAGGAAGATTTCTGATGTGCAACCCTTGGAGGAACTAAAGGGAAACAGTCTTTTGACACAGGGATTTCCTTGCTGTTGTCGTCCTAAAGATATCAATAACACAAATGTCATCTTAGGGTTGAGGACATATTTTTTATATGTATTTTAGTGTTTAATAGTTCAGGCACTCAGGAAGCTCCTAACAAGAGCAGAAGCCTTTACTTATTTGACCAGCAGATAAATCCAAGCTCAAAATACAGCAGAGCCCTTTTGACCATCACAGGATCTGAGTCAGAATCCGGGTTGACAAAGAGAAAAAAAGCCCTATGCTATACTTGTGCTTGGCTTGAGATTGTTTAACTATCTTCCTAGACTTTGGTGAAGTTTTGTAGCTCCAGTGCCTAGGAAAAAGTCATCCCTCTTTTGAAAAGTTTACTGGTATTATTCCTAAAATTGAATCTTAAATTTAAGCTTTTTGTGAGGAAAGTATGTCAGCAAACAGTAAACACATTCTTATGAGTTCCTAGCTATATCTTATGTAGGAATTAAAAAAAAAAAAGAAAGAGACATGAAAACTAATGAAATCCTGCATCAGAAATTACTAGAGCAGCTGAACAAAGAATAAATCACAGTATCCAAAAGGCAGCACAGCAAAGTGTTATATCAAACAGAAATATGACAAAAAGGATGTGATTACCCATTAAATTGGAAGTGTGTAAAGCCTAATCTGATCTGCTTGTATTATAAGCCAGATATCTTACACCTAGCATTTTATGTTACAAGTAAAATGCTCATTATGTTTTAAACATTTTAATGCTTGATATTGACTTTAAGCCTGCAAAATAAACAATTCAACACTTGCCAAGATCATATTTTACGGTTTAATCATCCTTATTCTTAATGATTCACACTTCATTTTCAGCTGGCATGTTTGTAGTTTTGTCTTCCAGCTGCTGGTTCTTGTTATGCAGCTCCCTGCTAGACTAAAGAGCTCTGTGATACCCAGTAACTTCTTCCCATGAAAACACTTATCCACATTGATCACATTTCATGTAAATCATCTTTGAGATAAAACAAACCATACTGAGTTCTCTCTTTCAATCTGAAATTACCCTCAGCCCTCCTACTGTTTCTGTTGATTTCCTCTGTGTTCTTGATTTTTAAGCTTCCCTCTTTAAATACTAGTTCTTCTCATTTCAGCAGTTTACAAGCTAGACCCTTAACCTAAGCAAGTCTCCAAGGTCCTTCTACACTCTACAGAGGACAGAAAACAACCCTAGAGAGCAAATCATCCTTATCTCTTTTAGACACCTCTCTCAGGATCAGGAAATGATGATTTAGATCATTTCTACACAGACACAGACTGCAGCAGGAATTTAGGCCACCCATCTGCACTGCACACCCCACTTTCAGAAGGCTGAATTTAATTTAATTCAGACAGATATTCAAACTCTGGTATCAGTTGCTTTCATCATGTCTGTCTCTCTCTGCTACATCATAACAGAGAAGTTCATTTTGATTTCTTTCAGAGTCCATGACCCCTCTATCCTTGCTAGCAACGCTCTTCCAGATTGCATTTTCTCCTTTTGTAATCTGTTTTTGGACCTACCATGTCCTGGGAAAACAAAGATCATTATGCAAGCTGTGTTAGTATTGCCATTGTCGTTATCATCATTCAAATAGTTTCACATCTCAGCTGGACCTTTTGAAACTTCTTGTTCAGGAGGTTTAATTAAATCACACTAAGCTTTACAGATTAATGGCAACTTTGATGCAAGCTGAAAACTTTTAAAGATAGAATAACTCAACATATTCCTTCATAAACATGACCTAAAATCTCAGAGAGCTGTATTGATTTCAGCCTTCAAAACAACTGTAAATTTTGGAAACCCTAACTTTATTTGGTAATAACACCTTTTATTGATACAGCATGGGCTTGTCTCAATAGGTAATGGTTGCAAGTATCTCAGTTCTGAAATATATGAGATTATAGAGGGAGAAATAACAGTTATTGAAGAAACACTACTCCCTAAATCTTTGAATTTTCAAGACTCTAGCATAAATAGGCAACAAAATGTTATGAAAAACCTCTGCTGTGATCTGAATCAAGGAAAACCTTACCACAAGAGCTTAGAGATGATCCAAAGGCACTAACTATGAAATTACCAGCTAACCTAGATCTTTGAATCAGTGACCTTACAAACAGCTGACCCTGAGCCACCTTAAATATCTTGGAGCCCTTCTAAAGCTGCAAATGAGCTTTGCTTCAGCTGTTTTTATGTATTACACCAGAAATCATAAAGAATTGTTTTGAAATCAGGAAAAATGTGCCAAAAGCTAAGATTTCTATGTATTACATAACATGAATGAAATAAAGTGGAATAAAATCCTCATATTTACCATGGACTATATAAGAAAATTGAGGGATAAAAAAGGAGTCAAAGAAAAAAGAAAAAGGGAAAAATCAAGCTTTTAGAAGAGAATTAACAATCTGCACTAAAGCCAAAAAGGCAAACAAAATGCTAAGGAAAGCTACAAGTTGCATTATCAGGCAGAAGAAATTTCTCAGTAGTGAGCTATGCTAGTCCTCAGTTACTCAGGGCATTTTTTTGGGAAGATACCACACAAGAACATTTAGAGGAAGGGACTGATGTTCCTCCCCTGGGACAGCTACTGAGAGACATTCCAGAGACATGGGAGGTGGCACAGGTGGAAAATCCCAGCTTGTGCAAAACGGGAGCAAGGAAGAGCTGGGAGCAGGCAGGCAGGCTACTCTGTATGCTGCAACCAAAAGTTACTGAGATGGTTGAAGCCAGATAGAGAAACAGTCATTTGCAAAAAGAAAGTGGGCAGGGGAAGAACTGGATATAAGTTCTGCTTCTTCCTGTTCCATTTTCTCCTAGCCAATTTGCATTTTATGTCACTAAAAATTAGTTAGTTATGTTTGTAGCTTTTCAATCAGTTCATATGGGGGTGGGGGAAGCTGTGTTTTAAACCAGCTGATCTTTGGGGAGATGAGCACTGATCTTCACATAGCAAAAATCAAAAA